AGGACTTTCCGGGAAAGTATCCGGAACAAAAAAGGCAGCAGCCACCACCTGCCACCTCCGGCTGCTTCTCTGACACTTTCTTCTCGACATAGTTCCCAAAATGTTGTTACTTTTCCCCCTTGTGTTCCATACATTTCTAAAAATGCATTTTTTCCCATGTAATCAAGTTATAAATTTGAAAGACATGAGTCACGAGGTAGTCTGAGATGGCTGTTGACCATGAGAATGTTTAAGTCGTGTTCTGTCACTGTAGAGCTGATTTATTGACATGTATTACATGAAGAATAAAGACCAACATGCCAAACGGGTTGTCATCTTTTCCACGTTTAATGATGTAAGAACTTCTGGAATGTGAATATGTCAGCTTCTTTTTTGTGAAATCTCACTTCAGTTGGAGAGGGTAACGAAACATTCTTTAGAAGGGTTGAAAAATTTTTCCCTAGTAGATGCACTTTAAAATTATGATGCTGATACTTAACGGACCAAAGCACATAATATGTGCTTAGGGTGGGTTTGGGCTGTCACATTCAAAAAAGCCATCTTTGCAATTACACTCCACTGTTTTAACTACGACTTCAGATGGACCAAGATTCTTGGTAAATAAACTGGTCTTTCCACATTCTAGAAAGCAGCCATAAAAGTGGTCTGCGTTGTCAGAGGATGTCACATCGGATGTTTGAGTTTGACACTTCGTTATCTCCTATGAATCCGTCACAAAACTGGGTTTCTAGGGTTTGTCTATTCTATGAACTTAGACAGCATTCTGGGCTTTGATCTTTAAGATGCAGAATAAAAGCAGTAAATCAGCAATCATATTATTCCTCAATATCATGTTCGTTTACACGACTGTCCTAGTTAATAGTATAATATACAAAGACACGAGAATGGAACACTAATCAATTCATGTTCTCAACCATTTTAATGACTTGTAGAAATGGATCCTTCAAATTTCAGCCACTTTTACTTCAGAAGCAAAGATACGGTTGAGGGTAGAAGCTAATCTTATGCCACTTTGTGCTAACCTTTTCTCAACGATTGGCAGCCGGCTGAGAAAATAACTGTCTGCAACAAACAATAGAACTTTTGCTTATTTGGGCAGCCAGCCACTGAACTCTAAATTCAATAGATACAAGAAGCTTAAGATCACAGAGCAAAAACTGGAAAAGAGTTGAACTGTTCCACCTACTTATAACCACAGCATTGGTAAGTTGATGTGATAAAGAAGCCATACCTTCTAGTGTGCTTCCTGGAGTGGCGTTCTTGTATGCATATTTACATGCCAAGCTAATACTTTCAGAAGCATACCTGAAAGATAAGAAGCACCGCAATAAATTTTGTTATGCCAAGAACTTTAGGGTAGGAACATGAAAGTTACTTTTCATCCTCTGAATATATTTCTCCCCTTCCAAACTAAAGAAAAGGATATCTTAAGTCTCACTGTCTCAGCAACATGTTATAATTTGCTGCTTGAAATCTTGGAGACATGAACTGAGAGATCCCAATCGGTTGGAGAGGAAAATGAAATATTCTTTATAAGAGTGTAGAAATCTCTCACTAGCAGACGCATTTTAAAAACCTTGAGGGAAAGCCCAACAAGAACAATATCTGCTTGCGGTGTGCTTGAGCCGTTACATGAACAAGACAATTCCTTCTCTATCACAAGCATCATCTCACAGTCGTATACTAATCAAAGATGTTTGTATGATAGCAGAGGAATCATTTGACTACATGGCTTCAAATTTTAGCATCTCATCATATATGGATAAGGGATAAGAATAATGAGAACTCACGGGTTAGGACAGGCTGTATGGTTCAGTGCGCAATTTCTCCAAGCTGAGACATCGTTATACCATTCACCCTTCAGAAATTTAAAAAGATGATGCCATAAGGAAAAAGAACAACAAGTACAATATAAGAAAAACAAGTTCTACTCCTGTCGTAAAAGGTATATAAGGACATAAAAGTAGAAAGAGGAGGCTTACCGAAATGTTGGTTTGGATGGCTTGAATCATTAGTGTAAGGTTTGAATGGTAGAATGTCTTCAAGGCAGACTCAATGATCATATTATCCCATACCTGAAGCAAAACTATTTCTTTTTTATGGACAAAACTATTTCAATACCAGATGAATAAAAACCACAACATTCTGCAGAATTTCATGGGACTCCGATCTTGAAGTTTTAACCATCATGACGAAACCTTTGAAGATAGTTTGTGTTTTTAGTCTAATGGTTACAGGTGCAGGAAGAATAGAGAGTAAAGGAGGGTACTTGTGATGTGGGAGGGGGTTGAAATCACCAATTGACACTTACATGATGGAGATTAGTCTTTCTACGGTACCAACGGACTGTTATTGAATTACCTCCTAGATCTCCAACAAAACCGACATGCAGGGGCTGCCATTGAAAAAGGAAAATCAGATGTAAAGAGACGAAATTGTGGATTAATCGACTCTTTTTCGAAAAATGCAGTAGGTACAAGAAACCAGAACCGCTGAAGAATTTCAAAAAGCATTATATTATAGAATTTTAGAGCTGTAAAAGAAAAAGGTGAGAGACTCCACTATTGGAGGCTATAATGTATCTATGTAATTAATACACGAAACTACTAATCAAACTTTAAGAAATCTTATTTGGAAAGGATGAGCAGCTTGAGAATAGCCCATTGAGTGAATTTCAACTATATTCAGAGCACTAAATTTTGCTTTTATATCAGTTTCATGAATCTAGCACTTCATATTTTCGATTTATCTATGTGCCTTAAAGTTCAGATCTGAGAAAGAGCAAACCTGATGGACATCTCCGATAAAATGGGACAAGAACATAAGAGCCTCTGTTAAGTTATCTGAAAATATCATGTAAATGTAAGTGACATTCGTTCGAAAAGTGTATACATACAACGTTAGTCATCTACGATGCTTACATCTAATTTCTGAAGTCATCTCTTTGTAAGCTGATTCGAGTTGCCTAGTATAGTTGTAAATTGCTGCAGTCACACATCTACCCTTGTGTTCATGAGTATCATGACAGTCTCCTATATTAAGCAGAGAATACTGTTAAACAAGCAGACATTGTCAAAATAGCACTTTCGAGTTTCAAGTATTGAAAATTAGTTATTAGAGTTAAATCTTCCAACTAAAAATGCCTCATTGAATGAACGGAATCAAAACTCAATTGAATTTAATGACCATTGTATATGACATATTCAGAATGACTGGTTTTCGTTAACTTCATAGTTGTCAACATTAGATGTTTCAAAGCTAGAAAGGCAACAGCAGGCTACTGCTCCTGAATTGAAAAACAAATTTGCTCTCAGTCAAAATTTTAGATTCTGATGCATACGAAAATTATAATTCAAGAAGACATCGATACTATAGTTGTAATAGTCCAAGCCCACCGCTAGCAGATACTGTTCGTTTTGGCCCATTACGTATCGCCGTCAGCCTCACGGTTTAAAAACGCATCTATTAAGAAGAGGTTTCCACACCCTTATAAGGAATGCTTCGTTCCCTTCTCCAACTGATGTGGCATCTCACAATAATACTATAAGGAATCAGCTAGGCAGTGATGACCTTAGCCATATAACACAACTTTAGAGGATGCATCGGTTATGTGATCATGAGCTATAAAATGTCTCAGTTTCAGTATTGATCTTGTGGTTCAACAACGAATTTGAGTCTTAAAGCTCGTGAACAACAAGCATGATATAAAACAGTTATATGGCATAATAGACCACAAGAGAAACTGAAAATACCATAAAGCTAAACTTACTCGAGTAATTATAATTACAAAAGAAATCAGGCGTGTCAACATAGTGTAAGGCGCTACTCCAGCGATAATGAGCCTTCCATCGAATTTCATCAGGCCAGGAGCATACAGCCGCAAGATCTCCCTCAGCAGAAGCTGGAAGCAATTCTTTGACCATGGATAGAGTATCTTCAGTGAAATATCCCTAAAACCAAAGGAAGTGACATCAGATTTTGTCTACAACAAAATTTTTACAGGATCCAACGGCTGCAATCTTAATCATAGGGTGATATAAGTTATAATAAGCTCCAAAACAACTCCCCACTAAAAGTTTCTAGCTTAATAAGGACCTGATATAGTGGATAAAAGAATTTACTTCAGTTTTTATGCAAAAAAAATCCAAATGGGTCAAAAAGTACTCTAATAGCCAACCAAATTTCACAAGAATCCTCTCTCCTTCACCATGTTTAATGTAATGAATCCTGGCCTACGCTATTATAACTGCGATAGCTACAGTTTCAAGAATCCGAAACCAAAATCCCATCAGCTATAATCCTTCCCTATAAACCTTTTGTAACATCGATAAGCTTGACAAAATTAAACGCAACAGATGCTTAAAAACAACTCGAAGATGCTTACCTCCGCTATCTTGCAAATTAGGTAGTGACCCTCTTTTCCCCAGCCGAGGATTCCAGGTACAAGTAGCAGGAATGCGAACGCTTTCGCGATCAAGCAAAGCTCAGATTGGCCCATTTCCGCAATTAGCACCAAAATACGTAATCAACACAGTGAAATCGGAACCCTACTCTTCCCAGTGATTGCAGCTCCGACTTCACCTACTTGACCGTCGGCTCTGAAGCTCGCCTGCAAAATTATACTCGTTCTTCGACGCTTGCCTCTCAGCCAATAAGAGGTTAAGAGCGTAAATCTAGAAAATGACAGTTAGTTAACAAGTGATTTTTCCAATTATTTAATGCCAAAATATATTTTTTATTAAAAAAAAAAAAAAAAAAAAAAAAAAAACAGGGTCTAAATTTTAGAAGTTAAAACTTTTAATTTTTATTAAACATATTATACAATTTAAAAAAAATAATAAAAATTACATCAGTTAAATTAATAAAAATATCGATACTTAAAAAATACATAAATATATATATATATATATATATATAATTTATGTTCATTTGTTTTTGTTAATTTAACTTTACAAATAAATAAATAAACAAATTGTAATTTAATTAATATAAAATAAATGAAATAGAATATGTTCTTCGAATTTATTCGGCGTGTGATTTGAGAACTCCACCAGCAGACAAACAATGAAGGCTATCGTGATTAGCGAGCCCGGCGAGGCGGAAGTTCTTCAATTGCAGGAGGTTGAGGACCCAATAATCAAGGACGATGAGGTTCTGATCAAGGTGGAAGCCACTGCCCTGAATCGGGCGGACACGTTACAGAGGAAAGGCCTCTATCCCCCGCCCAAGGGTGCGAGTCCGTTTCTGGGCCTCGAATGCTCTGGGATCGTCGAAGCCGTTGGGAAAAACGTCTCCCGCTGGAAGATCGGCAATCAGGTCATTTATGAATTTAATGGAAATTCATTTCTAGTTTATCTTGTTGCAGTGTTCTTGAATTATTCTGAGTTCAGTTTTTTTTTTCTCTTTCAAGTCTTAAGGGTAGGTTTTTGTGTTTTAATGGCGCGAGAGGAATTCATTTCTAGTTCATCTTGTTGCATGGGAATTGTTTTGAATTAGATAAGTCTGTTTCTTCTGTAAATGCCCAATATTGTGCCCTAGGTCACCTCTTGTTTCTTGTTCTTTGAAATGATAACATCAGAGAGTTTTATAATTCTCGTTTAAGGATTCAAAACGTTCTTTAGTGATCTTTTACGCGTAGGGAACAATTCCTCATATACTATATGCTTCAAGGAATTGAAATCATTAGCATCTGAACATTCAACATACTGCTGCATCACAGGTATGTGCTCTTCTTGCTGGAGGCGGATATGCCGAGAAAGTGGCTGTCCCAGCTGGGCAAGTACTTCCAATTCCACCTGGTGTTTCCTTGAAGGATGCTGCTAGTCTTCCGGAGGTGGCATGCACCGTTTGGTCGACTGTGTTTATGACAAGTCGATTATTGAGGGGAGAGACATTGTTGGTATGATTTTGGAAAACTTCATGTTGGTTTTAGATTTACTTCTTTGTTGGTATGATTTTGGAAAAATTCATGTTGGTTTTAGTTTACTTGGGTGAGATAGAAAAAGACTGAAAAGGAAAATCAAAGAAAGAAGAATGTCGCCATTGGGGATGTGTTGATAAACATGGATTCAGTTATAATCAGAATTGAATTCATTTATGTATTGCCATCATGAATGAAAGGGTATTCAAATTTCAGGTTCATGGAGGCTCAAGTGGAATTGGTACTTTTGCCATTCAGATAGCTAAATACCAAGGAGCAAGAGTATTTGTTACTGCAGGTACAGCGAATACGTTCTACTTTTATCGGTTCCTGAGTTTGTCCTGATGTTTTTGAATCTACTGTCGCCAGGTAGTGAAGAGAAATTAGCTGTTTGCAAAGACCTTGGAGCAGATGTATGCATCAATTACAAAACTGAAGATTTTGTTGCACGAGTGAAAGAAGAAACAGATGGAAAAGGTTTGTCTTTAAAGGTTCCATTTCCGAAATGCTTGTTCCTTCCTAAGATTGCAGCTCTGAACTTTATGCCTTGACAGGTGTGGATGTTATTCTCGATAGCATTGGAGCCCCATACTTTCAGCGCAACCTTGAAAGCTTAAACTTAGATGGAAGGCTTTTTATTATTGGAACCATGGGAGGAGCAGTAACGCAGCTAGATTTTCGCAGTTTGTTTGCGAAACGCCTCACCGTGCAGGGTAAGATCATTCTAAATGAGATTTGTTGATATAAATTACAGTCTGAGCGTATATTCAAAGAAGCTTTTGTTCATGCCCTCCAAATCAGATACTCATTCTACTGATTTGTAATTATAGGAGTTAAAGTGAGTTATATATATACAAAATGTTATAAAAATCAATATATGATCATATGCTTCAAATGCAAACTAAAGTGGAACATTATAAAAGAGATAAACCCGTTTTCGAAGCATTGGTCTTTTCTCGTATCCTCCATCTTTTCTGGAACATAATCTTTCAATGACGAAGCATCATGTATCATGTATGCAGCGGCTGGGTTGCGAAACCGATCTCTTGAGAACAAAGCAGTCATTGTTAGTGAAGTTGAGAAGATAGTTTGGCCAGCCATTGCAGCAGGCAAGGTGAAGCCTGTGATCTTCAAGTATCTTCCCTTGTCAGCAGCAGCAGAAGCCCACAAGCTGATGGAGAGTAGCAAACATATTGGGAAGATACTGCTTGCCCCATGATGGACATGGATTGTCAATGCACCTTGTTGTTTTTCCTTTAATTGCACTTTGTTGATACAACTCCAAGAGAAAACGATTAAATTAGGGAGGAATGAAATAAATCTCAGTTTGAAATAATCGATTACTTGTAATTTATAGCCTAAAAAGATGTTCTTTTCTACCATAAACCCCAAGAATGCAGGAAGGGTGGGTGTTTTTTTTGTTGATATTTCCTTCAAAAATTCATTAATTTTAACACAACTCTTAATTAAATTACAAAACACTACTAAGCTTTTTTTTGCCTTTTTATTCTCTCAAGCGCACCAAGATGGCTGTCATCATCCTTTTCTCTGTTGGTCTCATCGGTATCTTCCTTCTTTCGAGCAAGGCCTCCGAAAACTGCAGATGGGACTTCTTTCTGGGCAATTTCAACCTTCTCGTCTTCTTCCGTGTCACTTTCATCTGGCAATTCAATGTCTTCTTGATGAGCAGTGACCTTTGATACTCCATCAGCTTGTGATTCCTCCACTCCAGCACTCACAAAACCAACTTTACGGCTGTTATCTTTGGCCGAGTCTTCAATTGCCGGGGCCAACTGCCTCTCAAGAGCAGCCATTTCGTCTTCTGTAACCCCAGCCTGCTTCAATTTGTCTTTTGCCTCGTCAAGGTTCAGTGTCTGATCCTTTTGCATTAGATACTCCGGCAGTATAAAATGTGTCTGAAGAACAGAAAAGGGTACAAATGTGTAAGATTTAGTTATAATAACACCATACTCTTATAGCCCCCAGTCTTGAAATTCATGAAATTGAGGTACTATCAGTTGACCTTATTTCCAGTTAACATTAGAAGTGTTGAATAAGAAAATACCTGGCTATAGCTAGCAGAAACACTCCTTTTGATACGAAGCATCTCTCTAAAAGTATCTTCATTTCCATGTTGGACCTCAAACTCGTGCCATTTGTTCCAAAAGTTCAAATCTGATCTCGGGTCTGCAAACTGTGAAGCAAATACATATATTCCACGAGCACGATCAATTTCTCCCAAACTCTTCTCCAGCTCAGCATACTTCAAGCACATGGTCTTCACATCTTGATCAGGAAGACCAGATTCTATTGCTTGTTCATAGATTTCTCTAGTTTTAGGAACACCAAATATCTCGGCTGCACGGGCAATGTATATTTCATACATGCTCAATTTCTCATTATTTGGAACAGCTTTAGTTGCCTGATCATAGACCTTCATAGCTCGCTTTGCCAAACCATGGTCTTCCTCAAGCTTCGCATATTGAAGATACAAAGGCCTAACTGAATCAGCGGGTGCCTGAATGCGCATTCAAAATATAGAACCGTTAGCATCATCATATCTATTGTATATCATTCAACTGCGAAACAATGGCAAGGCCTTGAATCTACTAAATGAAAAAGAATGTTATAATGAAGCAAGAAATACTCAAAAAGTATTGCTCCAGAAGGAGATAAAGGCGAGGAAACACTGGATTTTAAGATCCTAAATGGTCTCCTTAAGAACACTACCAAACACAGATCCTACCTACCATTTTCATTTTTTCCAAAAACAGAAACAAAGAACTTTCATAATCTAAAATAGATCCAGACGCACAAGAACATATGACAGTCACTTGGAATGAAAAAAAGAATGCATATCTATTGCTAGAGGGGCAATTTACAAGTCTCCATCAATGAAAATTGTTTCCTTAAAAAAAAAAAAAAAAAATCAAGTCTCCATTATTTTTGCTTCAAATATGTTTAAACTACAGACACCAGTCTTTACAGAACTTTTACTACAACTTCATAAGCATCTTGGAACTCTTGTACTTTCTTCAAACCAAGCCAAAGTAGAAAAATTTCAAAGATCTCCAACTGTCATGGAACATTCAAAAGGCTTTTTTGTAATCTATTACTATTAGATAGTTTCAGGAAAATTGCATTCCAGCATAATTACAAGAACCCTTTTTTTCATAAGAACCATTCTATTGATTCAAAGAGATGCAAGAGATGGATAAGAGATTCATTATACATACCGTTTCAACCGCATGCTCAAATAGTTCTCTTGCTCGCTCCAATTTTGTCTTCCCATATCTTTTTACAAACTTGGATAGATATGTAACCCATATATCTTTAACATGAGGATATTTGAAAATCTTGACGCCTCTTTCATAAACCTTGAATGCATCTTCGAAGTACTTGTGTTCCTGACCATGTCAAAATTATGAGTTAACCCGTCCACAGAATAGAAAAGTTAAGGTAAACTGACATAAGCCAAATTTAGCATACCTCAAGAAGCAAAGCATAGTTGATTATTATTTGTGGGGTAGCAATTCTTAAGTCTAGTATTCGCTCATAAACTGCACGGGTAGACTCCAAGGTTCCAAGACTTTCTTCCAAATCCACATAAAAGGTCCAAAGTCTTAGGGACTTGTGGACCTTCATCTGGACCGGTTCATTACCATCAGCAGCCACTGCAATTATAACCATAAACCAATGTAACTATTACGGCTACTCCATATACCTTGAGCTCATATTAAATTCACAATGACAAATACAGGCATGTTAAAATGAGTATTATTTTGTTGAGAAACAAACAATTTAACTTATTGTTCAAAATATCCTACAAAATCACCTCTAATTTAATTCCTTGGTCTAAGCGACCAAAATACTTGTGACGCCAAGATGCATTAACACAAGAAAAACCTAGATTACCATTAACTGTAAATGAGAGAATCAGCAACATAATTAAACATGAGCAGAATTACTAATGTGAAAGCTTTTTGGAGTTACCTTTTCGTTTGACTTCAACAGACGGCTCTGCTGTAGCTCGACGCATGAGCTCGAGAGCTCCTTTAAAATTTTTATGCCTCAATTCCATTTCCGCCCATTCACACCAAATGCTAGCCAAGTTATCCACAGTCTTGTAGTTAACTTGTACAGCTTTGTCAAAAATAACTCTTGCATTTGGAAGATCTTTGTGGGTTTCATACAGCTTAGCAAAAGCAACCCACAGGGTATGAGGCTTACCTACTGCTTTCATGGGATCCACTGTTCTCACAGCCTCAGTATACGTCAATATCTGTCTTGTCGGATTGCCCTCAAATAATTTAATCCTCCGATGCCATTGTTCGACATTATGAGGATTTTGTCGTAGAAGAACACTATTAGCTAATTCTGGTCTTCTGTCCATTAGATGGTCTAACCTAGCTAGCCTTAAATCAATGTCATTATCATCGTACATCCAAAACCCTAGAAGTATCTTCTTCTCAAACTTAGAAACTGATAAATCAAGATCTAATCGGATGTCCTCTTCCTCCTCCTCCTCGAGACCATTTTCCTGTGCTTCATCTTCCTCATCACTCAAATCCATATTTTCCATTTTATGAGCTAGCATACTCTCCTCGAATTGAGAGTATGAATCAAATATCACACTAAAATCTCTTACCGTAACAACAGTAGTCATCCCCTCTTCAAATATATCTCTTGCCTTCTCGTGCAAATTCCTTCTGATGTAATATTCTGCAAGCGATGTCCATAAGCGCCCTACTTCATCAGTGTACTTCCTAATGCCGCCCCGTATTATAGCATCAACATTCAACCCTGAAACCTCAGTGGCATGTCTAGTGAGCAAATCACACAACTCTAACCACAGCCGATGCTTGGTCTTCCCCTTAATAGAATAAAATTGATCGTCATTCAACACCGAAGCCAAATTCTCAGCAGCTTCTTGCCACAGATTTGAATTAACCAAAAATTCAATCAAGTCTTCAATATGTGTTGGATCATATTTTAAATACCTTCGATAAACTCTAAGCGAGGTCTCAATTGGAATACCCTTTTGGCTAACAAAAACGAGGTATGGCTCCCAAATGCGATCATGTTGTGTCACTGGAAGGGCACAAAGGGCTCGGTCAAACGTCCGACGCGTTCGGGTCACTAATTTTTGATTCGTCAAAGTTTGTAGGTACATTATCCATATTCTAGGCATTTTATGCATGGTCACAAGCGCTCGTTCAAACGTGTTATTAAGAGTTTCGTACTGAGAATGAGTAATGGGAAGATTTCGTACCAGATCGAGGCGTTCTCGCAGATATGCATACCATAACTTATAGCTACCCGGGAGGGCTTTCAGAGCTCGCTCGTAAATAATGAACCGCTTCTTGAATGGTGATTCTGCTCGTGCTATGAGGTAGCGCCACCACAACTTCAAACTAAAAGGATTCCGAAGAAGCTCTTCCTCGTAGAGAAGGTCATCTTGCGACGGATATAAATCTTGGGAAATCGACATGGAAGAAACCTAACAACAGCCCTAATTCGGCTAATCTCCCACAACAAAACACTGTGAAAAATGCTTCCCGACTGAAATTGCACGAGGAAATCGGAAGATAAACAATTATCAGAAAGTTGCAGGCTCGGTTAAAGAGGCAGCGAAGCTCGATTGTGTACAATGAACTCAATAGCGCATAAATCACAGAAAAAGAGGGCAGTTTCTCTAATGGCTGCCTCTTCAACAGTAAGAATCCTCCATAACTGAACCCTAAACCCTTCAGGAGACGAAAAGGAGAAGTCGATAGGAACAGAAGAAGAAGGGCGCGGTAGATCGGCTATTTGTTGCAAATTTCTGGAAAGTTTAATCTGTGATAATTTATCAAGAGATAATTTAGTAATTATGCTGTAAAAAAATATATTTAAAAGTAAATGACAATTTTAACCCTAAGTCTTTGGGCCGAGATATTTTTGTCAAGCCCAATACGTTCCAGCCCACATATGGTTTTGGGCCTGTTCAATTAGAAAAGCCCAACTGTAACCAGGCCCTAAAGAGGTGAGACTGCATCAACTATACTGCGCCGCTCCACTGTAAGAGAAGATGAATCAGCGATTTAAATCACTTTTGAATTTATTTATTTTCCTTTTTTATTTTGGGTGTTTTGTTTTGCAACTGCCACACGCAGATGCCGTAAGCAGCAATAATAATATGTGCGAGCCCACACGCAATCTCTCCCCTCTCCCCCCTCTCTCTCTTTCTCTCTCCAGATTTCTTATTCATCTCCTCCTCCGTCTCTCCCATTCACAAATCGCCTCTATTTCTCTTGTAAGGGTTAATATCTCCCTTTCTTCTTAGACTGTTCTTCTTGTCTGTTTCCTTTTGATTCTCGCTCAGTTCAGTTGATTCGTTGTCTTACTTTTTTTTTCCCCCCTGTTCTTGTTACTGATTGTTCTGTTTGGCTGCCGAGAAATCGAAGGAAAATCATGAATTACAAGTCTTTGTTTGTTGTTTGCCTCTTGTTCTACGAAAATCTTTGTCTTCTTTTTTTCTAGATCCGGTTTCTATTGATGATTTTACTGTATTTCTTTGCGATTTCAGGGTTTATTGTGTTTTTCAATTTGATTTGGCTCCAATCAAGAACCTATGTTTTGTTTTTCCTTCCTCGCGTCTCTAGATTGAACTGATTGTGGTTGTATTTTGTGGTTTTTGAGTGTTGATTTGTGGAATTGAACCTTTCTGGATTTATGTTTACTTTATCTCTGTGTTTTCTTCAGTGAAGGAAGGTTTTTCTCTTTGCGCGTGTCCCGTTCTCTTCTCCAATCCTTCACGTAATATAGAATCGCTAATTTCTCTTCACCATTCGCACTCGAAGATTGCTTCAATGGAGGTCAAGCTTTGGAACGACAAGCGCGAGAGAGAAATGTACGACAATTTTGCAGAGCTCTACGCCATTATTAAGGCCACTGAAAAGCTTGAAAAGGCTTACGTCCGTGACATTATCTCCTCCTCCGATTATGAGACTGAATGCTTCAAACTCATTGCACATTTCAAAACCCTGGCCTCGACGCTCAAAGACACAGTCCCGAGTATTGAACGATTTGCAGACACATACAAAATGGACTGTCCAGCGGCGATTAATCGTCTTGTGATCTCTGGGGTGCCTGCGACGGTGGAGCACAGGGCATCCGCCGCTGCCTCCTCCACTACCTCCGCCGCCATTGTGGCGGAGTGTGTGCAGAACTTTATTACAGCTATGGATTCATTGAAACTGAATATGGTAGCTGTGGATCAAGTGCACCCCCTGCTCTCGGATCTCTTTGCTTCACTGAACAAATTGACCATTCTGCCGCCGGATTTTGAAGGGAAAACGAAGATGAAGGAGTGGCTTGGACGACTTTCGAAAATGGGTGCGGCGGATGAGTTAACTGAGCAGCAGGCTCGGCAGCTTCACTTTGATCTTGAATCTTCTTATAATTCATTCATGGCCGCTTTGCCTACTGCTGGTACTTGAATGTTAATGGCAATCTTGTGTGTGTGTGTGTAAATAAAGGCTTATTGATTTTGTCGTACTGCATAAATTCACTATCTTCATGAATGGAATGTGCTCCTTTTTTTTCCTTTCAATATCGATTTCTGTTGAAGAGATGAATCCCTCTTTTATTTATTTATTCTTATATTCGTGCCCTTGAATTTCCATTGCTGGTTTACATGGATTGGAAGAATTGTACTTGTAAGTTATGATTGTTGTGAGAAAAATTTGTGCTTTGGAACTAGAGGAAAATGGGAACTGCACTGCAATGCACCATGATGGGTTAGGCTTGGGTTAATGCCTGGACCCATGATCTTGTGAGTATTGATAGGTATGTTCTTCTATTAGTCTCTTTCTTTCAAACTCCTCGTGGGTTTGAAGAGAGTGCTATGAATTATGCTTGTGATATTCTGGTTGTTGTAAGAAAATATTTTGCTTTTGAAGCAGAGGAAAGTGGAAAATGCTGCCATGCTGCGCCAAGAGCTATATCTGCATCTGATCCACAAATCCTTTTTTAGGTACTTTTGGGGTTATGTGGGGTTGGATTTTGTGACTTTTTGGCTTTCAGTTCCAAAACTCGTGGGTTTTTACATTGTTACAGATCTTTATTCAGTAACTTATTACCTCATTGGCTGGCTCATTTCCCCAAACTATTTGTCCATTTTCTTCTCGCAGTAGTTTGTACTCAATGCTGAGTTTTCTTGTGTGTTTGAACCATATCTTGCTAGTATAAAGCATGTCAATCCAAATCATGGCAAGCATCTAGTGCCAAATCTTCGACTTAGCGACTGCGGCGGGATTTGATTGCCTGGATCTCCCACCTTTCCAGTACCCAAGTAAGTTGTAAGTTGTAAGTTGTGATTTCTAATGCCTATGGCTATACTTTTTCTTTTTTTCTCGAACTTTTTGTAATCTCGAGGTCTAATGGACAAGTAATTCTAGTTTGAAAAGAACATTGAATCTAAAATTGATATAATTAAGCGTTTTCCTGATGCCTAATTTGATTGAATTGACCTGTAAATTTGTTGTTAATTGTAGGTTCATGCGTGAAGAGTTTGGTCCACATGGACCAAGAAGAGTTTGGTCCATCAACCTACTTGATTGTTGGGCAGTGTATTTGGACATTTTCTTTCCCATCTTCGAGACATAGACTATGTGTGAGATTCCACGTTAGTTGGAGAGGAGAACGACATAAACTATATGTGTGAGATTCCACGTTAAAATCCTTACAAAGGTGTAAAATTTTTTCCCTATCAAATGCATTTTAAAAATCTTGTAGGAAGAAAAGCTTAAAAAAAACAATATTTGCTAGTAGTGGATTTCGAGCTATAATATATATATTAAAACTATATTCGATGAGGTCACCCTGATTTTATCTTTGAGATTGGATAGGGATACCCATTAATTGAAGCAGGTGGGGCCACAGAGGATGTGAGAATGTGAGAAATACCTATCCATCCCTACGCAGGAAGGCGGCAGTTCCATTGCACTGAGCTGCCCATGTCCAATAATGTTTGTGAAGGATAATGGCACGTGAAGATTGGAGCCTAGAAAGAAGAACATCTCCAACTTTTTGGTATCAATTCATTCCAAGCGTGCAACTTTTCTGGATACGGATGGACCTATCTATCGTGTTGTGCTCATCTATTTTTTTTGCTTCAATCCAAATCCAAACTTTTATATCTATTTAGTTTCTGAATTTTCGATCTTGTATTTATTAAAAAGAATGGTAAGTTCGATTGTTTGTAGTTCTGTAAGTTTATTAACTAAATAAACGCAAATTTAAGATTACAAGACTAAAATATAATCTAATATTGAACTTGAAAAAATTACAATAAAATATAATCTAATTTTGAACTTGGAAAGAGCTCGTGAACATAACTATATGTTGTTCATCCAAATTTAATAATTAATTTAAGAATCTAAATATTTTTGTAAAAATACAGGAAAATAAAATCTGGTTTTATTGGATAATTTAGAAATGTGTATTGATTTTTTTTTTTTTTCTCCCTAAAATGTGTTTAAAGGTCGAAACCCATTTTTATGTATGCAGTTATTTATATCATCACAGAAGAAGAAGTGTTTTGCACGGATTCAAAAAATAATATAAAAAATCGTAAAATCGTGTTGGAAAATTGAACCAACCGGGGGTTTGCTTAGTTAACCGTCGTCCAGCCTACGGTCTTTCTCAGTTCCGAGCCGGGCCAGCCCACCTCTGCTGTCTAAACGCCCATGTTTCTTTTACTCTGATTGGGTCTTTCCGCCGGCCACCATCCACACAACATAGAGCACATACGTATAAGAGATCGATATCCAGACGATTTTTCCTAATCGATTCTGTTCTGAAGATGGATCAATCCGGAGATTCAAAGCCCATCCTCAACCACCGTGTTCTCCTCCCCGATGGAAGCGTCACGCCGATGATTCTCACAGCTGACGGTTGTCTTCGGTGGTTGGAGGAAGGTCAACGGAGTTTGTCTGTTGATAAGGAGGTTCTTGGATTCTCCACGGATGGTCCGAATATTAGGATCAAAGCTCTCGTGGAGGACCTTGGTGGATTGCTGTGCTTTGGGAGCAGTGGAGGTTTGGTGAGGAAGGAGTTTGTGTTTCAACCACTTTCTGAGGAGTCGCGGGCGCTTTGGTGTCTGAAGCTCCGTGAATGCGTTGATTTGCTTGGTAATATTATCATCCGGAATCCTGCCTGGTTTTGATATTGACTTTGGTAGTTTTTGGTAGTTTAGGAAATGCATGGAAAGAAGGGATTATCTGTTTCTGCCTGTTGGTTGCTTTGATGATTTAATGTTTTGGTTTCTCTCCTCCAATCTCTCAAGAGCTTAATGAAACTCATAATCTAATTCTTCGTTCTTAATACTATTCATTCGGCTTAATTTCGAAACGGAAAGAAAAGGAAACTCTTCTTATTACGATGATTCTCTTTGCAAATTCCTGTCGCCATATGTTAGTTTCGGTATAGGGATGAATATACGATGCATATGGTAAGGTGCGTTAGATTTTTGGCTGATTAAGAGTCCGAGAATCCTCCGTGATCTCTAAATTCGGAGGCATTAATTGTATGCATTGTTTTGGTTTTTGATTTCTCGTAAGCAAAGCAAGGGAACGCCATTGCTTTTAGTGCTTCAAGCTCGTTCTGCCTAGTATTCTTTTCCCATTGTTTTCTGGAATAGTGACATCTATGTTCCCCCCAGGTCGTCCAAAGAGGCTGTTTGTTTTCGTTAACCCATTCGGTGGGAGAAGAGCTGGTTATAAAATCTATCTAGATGACGTGAAGCCTATTCTTGACGATGCCGAAATCGTTGTCACACTGCAAGGTGGGATTACTTCCCAGAGTTCTGTAATAATTTCACTTTGAGTTCGACTTTAGCATTTAATAGGGGTTTTTATTAATTTCATTTCATCTGATTTTAACTTTAGAGACTAAATATCAGCGGCATGCGGAGGAGGTTGCTTATTCGTTGGATCTTACCGAATACGATGGTATTGTTTGTGTTAGTGGTGATGGAATCTTGGTAGAGGTTTGTCGTCCTCCCCTTCTTGCTTCTTAAATTTATGGTCTTTCTACATTCTAGGTGCTTTAGCCTTCTCATTGTCACATTTGTTTTTTCTTCTGTTCTTGTTTCCATAGATGACTTCATCTTTATTTTCCCCCATGTTTCTTCATTCTGACAAGCTTCACATTGTTTAGTAGGTAATAAACGGACTGCTGAGGAGAGATGATTGGGTTGATGCAATAAAGACACCTCTAGGAGTAGTGCCTGCAGGTGCCATACTCTTAGCTCTGTTGTGCGTGTGAATTGTAATGCCTATACCGAATCATTTCTGGTGAAAGAATTTGAGTGTCGTGTCTTATTGTACTCAATCTCATTATATTTCCTCCTCAACTAACGAAAAAATATTCCCTCTCTGTTACTATTTATTGGGGTTCCTTGCGCTGATAGCTAACATACTAATGATGGGACACGAGAATTCTATTAGTATTTATTGGGGTTTATAAATGCATAGGCACTGGAAATGGAATGGCGAAATCACTTCTTCATTCAATCGGTGACCCTTGTACAGCATGCAATGCTACTCTTGCCATCATTCGGGGTATGCATAGTTCTGTCAATTATTTTCCCTATCATTTTCCCCCATCTCTAATTTTTATCTTCTTTTACTATATGTTTGAAGCATTTTTCCTGCAAATTTTAATTTCTTGCAGGCCATAAATGTTCATTGGATGTTGCCACCATTTCGCAAGGAGAGGTTAAACATTTTTCAGTGTTGATGCTTGCTTGGGGTAAGTCTAATATAAAATCTCTCTCTTTAATTCGATCTGTAGTTGAGATTAATTTTTCTATTTCTCATGGAAAATGTAAAATTCTCTTTTTGCCGATGCTGTTGTTTCTGGTTTTTGCTTTTGATTGTTATATGAAATAACTTTAGTTTGCCCACTCATCAACGATTGCTTCATTTCAGGATTGATAGCAGATATTGACATTGAGTCGGAAAAATATAGGTGGATGGGAAGTGCTCGGTTAGATTTTTATGTATGTATGACTAAATCATAGAAGATATGTTTGATACACAATTTATTTTGATTTGTTCTTCTGATGCTCTTTACGTCACAACATGTTTGTAAACTCAGTAAGAATAGTTATGAACAACAGAACAAACAAACTAAAAAGTGAATGACATGTAGTATCTCTAAGAATAAAAGGTCAATTGGCTGTGAGCATATTATAATTTTAAATCTTCATGTATTTTTAGTTTTTTTTAATTTCTGGTGAGTTTATGTCTACGATGCAGAAATCTCTGGTTTAGAATTAATCAGTAACCCGTTGCATTGTGTGATTTTCAAATTCATCTGAGGTTCCCTCATATCATTGCAAAAGTGAATAATTGGTGTCACAATGCTAAGTATTTCTTGTGTTTAGGCTCTTCAACGAATTATAAGTTTGAGGCACTACAAAGGTGGTGTTTCTTTTGTACCTGCACCTGGATTTGAAGATTATGGAGAGCCGACGAGGTACGATTATGAAACTGCTAGCGTAGTAGATGTTGACAAAAGTGATGGTGAGACCGATAATATTCGGCGGCATGGGTACGAAGGACCTAATATCAACTTGAAGGATTTGAATTGGAGAAAATTTGACGGACCTTTTATTTCAGTCTGGCTTCACAATGTACCTTGGGGAGCTGAAAACACCATGGCAGCACCAGATGCTAAGGTTAGTTTGTTTTGTGAAGTTGTTTGAATATTAATCGGAAATTCTCCTTGATATTGCAATATAGTTGCAATAATGTTGTTTTCCTACAATGAACATATGGGTGTCAATTTCCATACATGACCTTTGCATAGGAGACACCATTTTGGATGTCTAGTTTGAAATTTATCATTTAGGCTCTCGTTAAAGATAACAATTCCAAATTATGACTTCGATTTTCTTTGGCAACTTCTATTTCCGCCTGAAACTGCCAAGGGGAAAGCTAGCAAATTAAATCATCTCCTCTGGGTTGCCACAAGACTGAGTGATTTCTTCATATCCTGATTCCCCAGATGTGAATCTTGCATCCGTTCATTATTTTGAACGGTTCTAGCATTTATGAATGTTGACAGATTTACTGTTAGTGATGTTTCAACACCTGAGTAACTGTGTGCAGAAAAGTATTAATATTATATTGTTTATATAATATTTATATCTTGTTGCTTATTTTTTATGTTTCATGAATGATTTTTTTACATATAATGGAAATGTCGATTTACCCCTTATATCATTGTCAAAGTCATGTATGGAAACTTGTTGAGCATTTAATATCATGGGTTTAATTGCCAAGTTACCTGTTGTTTGCCACTGCAAAGTTCTCTAACTTGGGTACTTGAGAATGCTACAATTTACCACTTTATCTTATGTGTGTTTAATGATGACGTATAATACCATTATTGTCTGTTGATATGCAGATGTCAGATGGTTTCTTGGACTTGATTATTATCAGAGACTGCCCAAAATTATCCTTGCTAGCGTTGATGACTGAGTTGAATAATGGAAGGCATGTCAAGTCACCATTTGTTACATATATCAAGGTTCATATTTCAGTTTTATGTTGACGTTTTCTATCTTCTATCAATCATCTCTTGCTAAGCTGTGATTTGTGACAGAAACCTTGAATGTTTCCTCTTGCATTGCATTGCGAAATTATTTTATCAGATTCTTATTTTGGTCTTTCAGTTTTTTCTCGAGATTTTCTTCATATTGAGCAACTAATTGTAGGTCAAAGCATTTATTTTGACACCTGGCACACGGGTGGAGGAGCCTAACAGAGAAGGAATTATAGACGCAGATGGAGAGGTCTTAGCTTTGGGGAGGGAAACTATCACGAGTGGTCAGAAAACTCTTATGAATTATGATAAACTTCAAATCAGCATGCATCAAGGGTTAGCTACTCTATTTTCCCCTTGTAGGGATTGATCAAATCAGATTATCTTGATCCAATTTTATTGCTGATTTGGAAGAGGAAACAACCCTGATTTTTCCCCCTCAACTGTAAAGAAATAATATATAGCAATTTAAGAGGTGGCAAAATTGGGTGCATAACTGTCGTCTTGGAAAATTTTCAGTTCATAATTGTTCTTGATTTCTCTTACATTGATTAAGTGTTTCTGTTACAGACTAAGGACATAATAATACAAACACAAATATTAATACCAAATTAAAGGTATTCATGACCTTGTTTAGATGTTAGGTGCAGGTTCCAGTTCACAAAAGTGAAGTA